TTGAAGAAAAGACAGAGCAAACATAAACAGGAACCAAAAATACCGAATCCCTCTAGAACAATTTCATCACTACCAACTCAAAGGAGTATCTCACATTCTCAATTCCGAATCAACCACTTCGCACGATCATAAATCCAAAAAGAAACATTTTTGTTTTTTCACCAGCTCAACAACAAATTTGCCCAAATTGAAGAAGAAGAAAAAAGCAGAGAGATTTAAGAAACACAAGCTAATTCATGAGTAAAACAGAATCAGAAAACAACAAAAATAAAAGAAAAGAGAGAGAGAGAGAGATTGAAGTACAGTGTTATTGAACTTGTAGGTCGACGACATTGAATTCTGTGATTGTCGAAGACGAGAGAGAGAGAGAGAAGGAGAGATCAAAGTGGGTCACATGAAGAAGAAGTAGAAGCTCTTGTTATGTTATGTATGTATAGATGTTTACAAATGATCTCTTCTCCAAGACGGCAGATTTATAATTGTATATATATACTAAGAAGCCTTACGCGTCCCAGCTCCGTCCAAGCTTTTGGTTAAAGAAACAGTGAATGCTTTGAAGTTAACGAGGACCCGATCACATCTTTTGACTCCCAAATCAAGTTTTCTCTTTTATATATAAACTAAAATGGGAAGTCACATAAACAAATTAAAAGGTATTATTAATAGTTTTTACTAATGTAATAAGATATGTAATTATTCCACTGATCACTTTTTTCTTTTCTTATGTTGACAAATCTCAGATTCCCTTTTTGATTATGGATTGATTTTTTCTTTCTAGCTAGATATTTTCGAATTTATGTGTATTATTGTCCTTTTAAGTAATCTACTAGTTTCGGACCCGCGCTATAACGCGGGGGAAATAATTACATATATATAACTTTTAGCGGATTAAGAAATGTTACATTTTAATTTTATTAAAATGCAGTCGATTACGGTAAATCATATATTTTTATAATAAGTTTAAATCAAATAATAAAAGAAAAAGCGAGTAAATAATCAAATACTGAGTTTTGATACAATTATAAACACGGAAAATTTAACAACACGAAATAATATTTGTCGATAAATTATTTATTTTGACTATTTTTGTAGTAAAAGTAGGAATATACGTAAAATTTACATATTTACAATATTTTTTTTGAAAGTCCAACTCGTAACAGAATTCATTTCGTAAAAAACATTATTCGTAACTCGCTTTATCATTATAATTGTGATTTTAACAAACTACCCGTGAATTATCTAAAATTTACATAGTTTGATATATAATATATTTTATCAATAAAAATTATGTCTCCAAAATTACATTTATGTCGTCAAAAAAATATTTCAATATTTTAAATTCTAAAAGTTTTATATATTTGAACCTTATATTTATAATATTTTGGAACTATTTGAAATTTTAAATATGCTCATGTAACAATGGTTTTAATATTGGTCATACTTATAATGATTTTAAACCATTGTCCAAAATATTTAACCGAGTGTAGTTGAGTATTATATGTCCGTTTTGAAAAATTCAAATTGCAACATATGCAAACTAAAAGTTAAATTTTTATTAAATATTTATATTATATAGTATAATATCATAAATTAAAAATAATATCAAATAAAAGTGAAAGAAGAATAATATTTTTTAAATAGATTGTATTAAATTAGTTAGAGAAATATTAGTAAATCTTATAATTAGTTATGGAAATAATACAATCCTAAAATTAGATTTGGAAAGTATCCGGTGTATGTATCCAAACCCATTAATATATCCAATTTGAAAAGATCCAATTACAAATTTCGGGTAATTTTTTGAAATTAACCCGACCCGGAATCACTTTTGTACTTCTCTTTTACTAATATAGGGATATTTTCTAGGGAAAAAAAAAAGAAGAAGTAATTTATATCTTCGAGTTATTAAAATCTATCTGAAAATGTTATAAATATCAGAAATTTTCAAGATTAACAAAAACAAAAAAAAATTTAGAACATTTCAAATTATTTGATTAAAAAAACAGTTTTGAATTTGACATTTATCTAAACTAATGAAATGTAGAGTAGTTTTAGGTACCTAAACGATATATGAAACTGATGTGTAACCTATATTTTTCTTTTTGTATATTATTGTGTATTTTTTTTTGTCAACAACGAATAATATTATTGTGTATTCTTTATATCGTATTTAAAATGCCTATGTATAATTTAAATAACCTTTATTTTTAGTGTTCAAGCGCCTGAAATGATCTAGTTAATTTATAACCTTTTAACAAAAATAAAAATACTAATTATCCATATATTGCATTAATGCAACAAAAATTAGTGATACAAAACATTAGAGATTTTTAGTCATACAAAAATAAAAGTACATATGGTATTGCATTAATACCACTTTTAATTAATGGTTATTGTTTAGTTATTGTAAATTTGTAAATGTGGTACACCTCGTAGCAAATACGAGAATACTATTAAGTCAAACTATATAGCAAATTCGATTTCGGATACAAAATAGTTGTATAACCATATCTTTCGGAAATTTTTGATTAGCAATGTGATGATTTAAGTAATCATAACATGATCATGATGAGCAAATAAAATAGTACTGACTGAATGTAGATATGTTTTAAAAATGACTATTTAGTTTCTTGTTCTTAAGGGTAAAGATATCAACACGCTAACATAATCTTCAAAAATAATAATATTAGGTGTTCACAATGACATCTATTAAATATAATAGAGAAATCATTAAATATGTTTAGTTCTTAACCAACCATAACACCAATGACATCTCACAGATCATTAGTTTCCAAAGATCCTATTTTGTTAATTAAAAATTTAAAGGTCCCTTTTCCTAACTATAACTCATTCAAGAAAGTTATATAATATATACGGCTAACAATATTTTCTTCAATAAAGAATAAACTAAATTATAACTTCAGTTAAACCCACAAAAATAAAATAATTTCAAGAACAGACGATTTCGATGCGTGACACTTGTTAATAACAAGAAAAGAAGAGAGATCAAGAGGGAATAAAAGCATAACTGTATAATCACATCCTCTCTTTTTTGTTGATGAATATTATACAAGTTGATTACTAACTTAACTTAGTTACATCATTAGCTTCTTGAGCCATAATAAATGGACCCGTCCAAACAAACAACGCGTGGCTGCTTACTTTTGAGGACTGACTTTTGAAACAAGGAACATTCAGGTCCTTTCAATCTCGCATGGTGGTGTGCGGTGCGGTCGTGGGGTTGGTTTTTTTAATTTGGTTCCACACTTCCACTAGAGAGAGCATATAGCTAATTAAGTTGCACGCTTTTAATTTTGAGTGCGTCATGGATCACGACACGAGATTCCTCCACGAGTCACAACTCTGTATTACGTATGAACGCTTTTAGATCTTAATTTACGAAATCCAACGGACGGTGATCAGCAAACTCCGGTTTTGGACATGGACTTTCATGTTCGTGGATGGTGATCTTATATTCCTCTCCTCGAGCCACGTCTCTGTATGAACCTATTTATTTTGACTCTTTATATTATTCCTTTTATCTCCAACGACTAAAGCAGCATGGATATTGCAGCATTCCTAATATTCTTTCTATCTTAACATAAAAGGTCAATGAGAGAAAGCTGTTTTATTCTTAATTTACTGACTTTACTTACTAGTTATGTACTACTACAATAAATACTAAATTTTTTTCAATTGCATGTAAAAAGACATTTTCTTGCGTACTTTTATAAAACCTATTCAATGACTGACTTCTACTTACTATCGACTTTAATTTTTTGGGTCATACAGAATATTCGGAAACTAGAAAGTGTAAGAAAAGAAGTCAGCAAAATCTACCTTTTGTTGACTAATAGTTTTGGCTGTGTTTCGATTATGAAAAAGGTCATACGACTTCTTTTCTTTTTTTTTTTTAAAAGAGTTTTGAGTCAATTCTTACACGCGGGATTTGGTAAATAGTTAGGTAGGTCATCTCCTAATCTAGTTTTCACATTTAACAGATCTGTAAATTGACTCTGTATATATAATGACATGTATATGTGTGACATAACTATAGTCAGGCATTGCATCAAAGTCTACTTTGACCCACGAAAAAAAATATAAAATAGATTGATATTTTTATATTTGGCACGTTCATATGCTCTCTTTGCAGGCCCCCATCTAAGTGAAAGACTATTAAATATAATGCCCAAATAAAATATGCTGCGATTTTGGAGGGATTTATAAATCTCAATCTCAGAATTATTTACTGATCATGATTAGTATATTTGGACATGTTTGATCGTCTTTCAATTTCCTAGTACTATTTTGCTCTCAGTTCTTCTTTGAAAGAATGATCCAACCAATTGTTTTTATATGGAATGGAATTATTAACTTTTATTATATTTGGGTATGGAGAAATATTCAAAGTCTTCGAGAGAGAGAGATTAGCTATATTTATGTTGACTTAAATATAATAAAGGACGCTTAAGCTTTCTTCTTAATTTATCACAAATATTAGTAAACTATATAATATGTATATCTTCGAATGTTGTTTTCTTAAACTGTTGTGTTGTCGTATATAAACCTTTATTTAGTCCACATATATAATACGACTTCAAAATTTTGAGTGTCCTTATTTGATATTCGAAAGTTTGGCTGACCTGTTCCACCACAGTTACTCCTCAATCTTGTTATTGTGGTATTGCATGCATGCCAGGGCACCTGGCCCAAAATGTTTTTCGTTTGAGACTTTTTGATTTATTCTCCCTTAAGAAATAATTTCAAAGTTGATAAAATGGCCTCCGGGTCTGAACATATTCCCCTACTCATTTGGGCCGTAACTGTTGTTGTCTTGTTGGTGAAGCTTGTCATGGTAAAGAAACTGCTTAATAGGGTGCTTGTGTTATAGAGCTTTATCCATAGAAAAGAGAATAACAAAGAGAGGATTGATAAAATGAGAGGTTCAAAAATCCCAACAGTGGGACATTCAGACCAAGGGTTTTGGTAAACCCTAAACTTAATTAGTCCAACAAATGATAATGCTGAACAGATAACCAAATCATAGATATAATGCTGATTTCATGAAAGCTGCACATCAAAGCAAACTTTCGCTTGAATCCCCCTTGAAGCTGGTCCTGATCTCTCCTTCAGCTTTTGGGCCACAAAGAAAATAAGCCACGTACACACAAGGATTGCTATCACAATTTCAGGGAAGCCCCACCATTCTGAACGCATCACCTTGACTCCAACTTCATTCATGTTCACTTCTTCTCCTCCTGTCATTTCCGGCTCGAGAATATCGTTTCTGTGCCCTAGCTGTGATAAAACCAATGTTCTTATCACTTTTAACAACCTCAACAATTCAATCTTTCTGATAACCGGAAAACATTCTTTATGTTCTTGAATAGTTCTTGCAAGTGCTAAAAATCTCATATAGTTATGTTCTTGACTAATTACCTTGATGGCCCACGATCCGAAGATCATGTAAGAAACACAGTAGGAGATCGAGTAACGGCAAAAGATATTGGGAATATCAGAGAGAAGATGGGAGAATCCAGAAGACGCCATGATGATTCCCTTTCCAAAACATAGAACAGACATCAGATTATTCAAGATCTTATTTAGCTTTCTTGAGACTTAAAAAAAAACAAAAAAAAAAAAAAACAGAGGTTGCTCTGCTCTTACAATGAGGCCAGCTCCAGTGATAAGACCAGTCAAGAAGTTTGGAACAACAGAAGCAACAACCATCATGAGAATCTCTATTACACCGAATGACAATAAACCGGGAAGGTTCCTTGAGTTATAAGTTATAGCTCCTGTAATGCGAGAGCCATTATGTGGCAACTCTTGGTTCCTCGATCTCTCCAACTCATATCTTCGCTTCCATTCAGCAGACTCGGCTTCAGCAGCTACAAATATGCAAGAGCCTCAAAGAGTAAGTCCCAAAACTGCAAAGAAAACATTTTTGGTTTCAAAAAATCCAAGCTTACTTCTCGAAGAAGACAGCCTCCGATCGTCGTAGTATGTTGTCTCTTGAATAAAAAGCTCCTCAACAACTTCCTCTGATTGAGTATTTGAGGACCAATTGTTAAAATAGCTATCGGGGTTTCTATACAAACGTTTTCTATCTTCATTTCCATAAGGATCCTGCAAAGAAATACAAATAAGTCAAAATTCAGAACACATAGCATGAAAGCATAAAAACATAACCAAAAACTAGGAAATACTGATTCCTATTTAACAGTTTCATTACGCCGCCAAACACGCAAAGGAGAACAAATAGAGTGACTAAAACAGAATCAGAAAAAGGAAGGAGAGGTTGAAGCTGTACAGTGAAATCGAAGTCGTGTGTTGCCATTGAGTTCTAATGTTCTATGATCGAAGACAAGAGAGAGAGAGAGAGTGAGAGATTAAAGTTCATGACACGAAGACGCATATATATATTGCATTGAAGTTAACGAGCCGATAACATATTGGCAAAGAAACCTAATCTATCTCATTTGAATCAGTTGGACCCTCTATAAGACTATTAACGCGTTGAACTCTAAGCAAATCTCCAAAGTTTTATCTCAAATGGAGCAAGTTGGGATCGAGTTAGCCCTTGGCACTTAGTGAACAAGAGACTACGTATTAAGTGCCTTGTCACTCGACGAACACGTTCTTAGGTCTCTTTCAGTTGCAAGTTGCCTTTAATTATATTCCCTTTTTATATACGCAATAAGTATGCTCTTTTTTAGTGAATAACTTATAAGTCTTAATATATTATTGCAGTTCAATATTATTATCAGTATCTAATTTTAATTTAAAAGGTCTGTGAAAAAAACTACACTCGCTAATTCATTAGGCTAAAATACTTTGTAGTTACTTAGAGACTAGAGACGACTGGTTCAAATTCTGAAATTCAACTTGCTATCGAGTTTAATCCGGCCGCAAAAAAAAATCTTTATAGCCGTCCAAATTAATGGGAAGAAGTCAACCAAAACATACCTTTTGGCCATTTTGTCTCATCTTAAAAATAAGATGTGAAAATACAATTCAAGACTTATTGAGAATACATTTCAAGACTTTTGAGTTTTTAATGTAAATTTGTTTGATATGTCTCAGATAGCTACATATATATTTTGACTCTTGTAGTAAAGGGACGTATCAGCTCATTTTCTTAAATTCCCACAAAATTATTTTGCAAATCATTCGATTGTTATTTTCTTAATTGTTATCATATAATATGATTTTAATTTGGCCATTTAAATCTATCTAAATTTATGTATTTTAAAAATATTAGTTATTTTTGTGATAGGATAAATATCCCAATCATTTATCATTGAAAGATTAATGAAAGCTGATGATTAAGATGAGATCATGATGAAAGCTGCAGAACACAGTAAAACATACATTATACAAGTCTTTTAGTAGTGGATAGGAGAGTTAAGGCCTTCTTGAGAAGAAAGTGAACGGAGAGGTTGGTGTCTCCTTGAAGACATTGACGACAGTGACAGAGACAAAGAAGGCATTCTCTTGAAAGAAGGTCTCCTGTCGAGATTCCTCATCGTTCTTTTCGCCTGAATCGCCTTCAAAGCCGGTCCTGCTCTCTCCTTCAGCTTTAGGACCACGAAGAAGAGAAGCCTGTAACACACAAGGATCCCTACGACCGCAGCTAAGTCCCACCATTTTGAATATGTCACCTTTACTCCAAATATCTTCTCTATCACTTCTTCTCCTGTCATTTTTGGCTCACCCGGGAACAGCGGCTCGAACTCTAGCCCTAGAAAATCATTCTTGTACCCTCCCTACAACAATCACAAATGTTCTTATGTTTAAACATACTCAAAATTTCAATCTTTTTTATAACCCAAAAACGTTATTCTGTTCTTGAATCAGGATAAACTCATATAGTACTTTCTTGACTGACCTGGATAGCCCAAGAACCGTAGCTTATGTAAGAGACCGGGTAACGCCAAAAGACTTTAGGAAGATCAGGAAGAAGACGGAAGAATCCAGAAGTCATCATGATGATTCCCTTTTCCAAACAGAAAACAAAGATCAGGTTCAAGAAGCATCTTTAGTAGAAAAGAAAACAGAGGTTGCTCTGCTCTTACAATGAGGCCAGCTCCAGTGATTAGACCCATCAAGAAGTTTGGAACAAGAGAAGCCACAACCATCATGAGACTCTCTATTACAGAAACTGAGAAGAATATATTGAGACAGAAGAAAGCGTAATGAGAGAACCCGGGACGAAACTTCACCAAGTTGTAAGTAATAGTTCCTGTGATAAGTGAAAGCGAAACCAAGAACGGGAAAGAAGAGATGTAATTTGAGAGGATGTAAACTGAAACCCCGTAGTATCCACTCAACCTCTCCTTATAGAACACCTGAAACAACGCAAACTCACATTTTCATCTACCAAAAATCAAGATTTGTGAGCTTTAAGAAGAGTTTTATAATTTACCTTCATTTCTTCGAGGAAAGAAGGGAAGCCTCCTATGGACATAAAAGTCATGAAACCGGTGATGAATCCGCCACAAGAAACCCGGGCTAAGATTGATGTGTAGCTATAGCCTACGTCGTAGAAGATGGTTCCTACGCTTATAGATACAACAATGTAGCTTATAATTCTTGTCCAATAGTAACCGATATCGCGGCACATGTTTATAAACGATCTAGCTGTTAATGTCCTTAGTTGTTTCCACCAGCTTGCTTGACTTCCTTTTATTACTTCCATCTCGAGCCCCTCCTGCGAAACAAAACGAGTTATGGAATCTAACCAGCTGGTGAGATCACTTGAAATATGGAGTTAAAACTTACGATGTTAGATAGTTCTCGAATCCTAGATTTTGCTGATTTCGCATACTTTGAACGCTTGTAGTTCTCAACAAGTCTTGCTTTGATCACGGATGTTGCTAGATTCATCAGAGGATCTGATGTAGCTGGTGTTTCCTGTAGTAGAATAAGTATTGACCTTAGGAAAAAAATGATTGATTCTTTATCCAAACGACTTATACAAGGTTGCAATGTTCTTGACAAACGTTAGGATTTTGTTTTCAAGATCACACACCTGAATTCTCTGAGATCCTTTGAGTGTAGCTGTGACTGTATCAAAGTCAGAGTTTATACATCGAAGAAAATGATCGGAAGGATTCCTCTTTTTGGGGCACGGGAAACCTGATTCTGCAAAGAACTTCATTCGAACAAGCAAAAACAAAACAGAGTTTTTATTTACTATGAAGACAAGAAAATAAACAAAAGAAAATTTATAATTCTTGTAGTGCAAGGAAGAAAAGATTATAGGGTTTACCTCAACAGCAGACTTGGCTTCACCAAAGTAGACAGACTCACCACTCGAGAGCAAGAAAAGATCATCAAACAGCGCAAAAACCTCGCTGCTAGGCTGATGAACCGAAGAAATAACGGTTCTGCCATCACGTGCGATATTCCTAAGCGCTTGGATCACGAAAAACGCAGAAGCACTATCCAAACCACTCGTAGGTTCATCGAGAAAAAGGATCTGAGGACGAGTGAGGATCTCCAAAGCGATGCTGACACGTTTCCTCTCACCGCCACTAACTCCTCTCGCGTGCCAATTGCCAATGGCTCTGTCTGAACAGTCTTGAAGACCAAGCTCCATGATTGTGCCTTCCACAATGTCACTCACTTCTTCTTTAGACATATTACTTGGAAGTCTCAAGTTAGCTGAGTATGTTATAGTCTCCCTCACTGTTAGCGTCCCCAACAATATGTCCTCTTGTGTCACATATGCCTATTTATATAGTCACAAAATCCACACACACTTCAAGAGCAATACACCTCGTTTTTTGCACTAAATCAAATGTCAAATTGTAATACATATCAAAGAAACCTAGGTAATTATTTTGAAGGTAATGCTTTGATTGTTATTGTAGATGGGATATATATATATATATATATTTTTTTTAATGGGTCTATGTTGTCACAGATTTAGAAGAAAATAATGTATAGATCTTTGATGCACCGCCACTATATATGTACTTAGGTCGGAGCTGTCTAAAATTTGTTGCCATAAATGAAAAGTTGGTAACGTTTCGCCGACCACAAGAACGGACATTCACATTCCTAATGAACTAACAAATTAGCTGCATGCATGTTATGAAATTGTGGGATGAAGGAGGAAACTTACAACGAGACCGTAGTCTAATCTAGCTTTCTTGCCGTTCAATAGAAGATTACCGGTCATGACCACGTTTCTTGCGAGTCTACCTGTGAATTTCATCAATTCCGGATTTTTTTTTTTACTTTTATTACTCGATTATATAGTTTTTATCTGTATGAGATGAAAGAACAAAAAAAAAAACAGTAGTATAAAATTGCATTTTTAATTGTATTGGAATGTGGAAATGGATATAAATATCTGAAAGGGTAGCTTTAGAAATCAATTTTGCATTTATGAGTTATATTTTCTGCACAACTTTTTCCTGCCGTTCCTTGCATGCAACCGCAGTTACAACACTTTGTAGCCATTCAATTACCATCTTTCGAGTTATATAGTACTATATCATAAGGTGATCATAACAACTAGAAAAAAAAGGACTTATAACTTTCTTTCTTATTTTTTGTTATTAAAGGGATTATAACTTCTTAGGATAAATTAAGATGATCATCTATACTATGATGTGATCTGATAACTTTGGTAAACAATAATATAATGAATTCATAAACTATACGAATTCACAAAATTGAAGACCATGTTGGTTTTTGCGTTACATTCTCGGGAGATGGATATGTGTTATGATGCATATGCATGCAGGAGTTGAAATATGGTAACAAGAAGGAAGGAACGAACCTGCAAGAGAGTCAAGAAGAGTGGACTTTCCAGATCCGGAAGGACCCATTATAGCCATGATACGACCCGGTTCTGCGTATCCGTTTAGCCTTTGGAGCAACCTTCGGGTCGGACCATCACTGAAGTTTGGTATCACCACCGTCAAGTCTTCCCACGCCAAATACGCTCCACGGCTCATCTCCGCCTTTGACGGCAGCTGCCTCCGACCACTACTCGAGCCCTCCACTTCCATAATCTTTTCTTTATTTTCTCTCTCTCTATAACAATTCTAAAGAGAGAGATTTCAATGTTTTGTTTGTTTTTTTCTTTTCTCTTTGGTTGGTCGGAGAGTGAATAGCAGTATGTAAGAAGGAGCAGAACAAACAAAACGTTAAAAAAGAAGAATTTATAAAGCTTTTCTTTTTTCACAATCACCAAACAACTAAATTCATTTAATGGATTGTCTTTAATATGGCAACACTTATCAGTATACTACTGTATATCTACATATTTTGTGGGTAAAATGTCAACGTACATTGTATGTATATTTAATTCATCATCGACACTAGTTAATGTTAGTATATTTCTCATCGTCACT